CACCATTAATAGCCATGCCACCATTTCTCCATTAGGCTGTCTTGAAATTTCTTCTGCCAGAGAAATTAGTCCATTGCTTTTCAACTTAGCCTCAGGCAAGCTTTTAGGTCGAGGGCAGACTCCAGCTGGACTCTTTGCTAAAGTCCTTATTTCCCTCTGGAACTACATTGTTCTCAGCACTGCTTTCTTCCAGGCATTTACTAGAATGGCCTGTTAAGCTCTGCTTACAGCAAGCAACCACTTTTCTAGCCCAAACTTCCAAAGTCTTCCACGTTTCTTCAAAGCCCCACATGGTCAGGTTCTTCACAGCCAACAGCCCACTCTCTGGTACCAATTACTGTATTAGTCACTTTTCTGTTGCTGTGATAGAAACACTGACCAAAGCAATTTATAGAAGGAAGGGTTTGTTTGAGCTTATAGTTCCAGGGGAATTACAGTCCGTCATGGCAGAGAGGCATGGTGGCTTGAGGTGGCTGGAACAGGAGCAGCAGAAGCTAAACTCTTGCATCATCACACAGGCACAGAAATCAAGAGAGAAACTGGAGATCTGGCAAGGCTTAAGAACTCTCTAAGCCCACCCCCAGTAACATGCTTCCTCCAGTATAGCTACACCTTCTAAAACTTCCCAAAACAGCACCATCATCTGGAGACAAAATGTCCAAATACTTGGAGCCTATGGGGGACATTTTCATTCAAACCACCACAGTAGGCATTGTACAACATGGGTGCACTTACATACATGCAGGTAAAACACTCATACAAATAAAATAAATATAAATCATTAAAAAACCTGTTAGCAATAAACTGACTAGCAAAGAGTAAAATTTCCACACCTTCTTGTGGTTCATTTGCTGGGATCATTCTATGTTCTGGCCATGAAAGCATAATGTAAGATTTTCATCACATCTTGATAGACAAGGAGACTATTCTTCCCTTTCTCCATTCTGTTTCTAGGAATGAGGAGATAACAGATGGAGTTCCAGTAACTATCTCAAACTACAAGGATAAATGTTGAGATTGGGTTTCTCTGAAAATCAGATTAGAAGCAGCCTGATTCTTGAATGGTTTTATGTATACCAGCCCTGGGCTGCCAATCTTTGAATTCTTCTGTGTGAGTGAAGATAAACTTCTATTTAGTTCATGCTATTATTCTTAGTAGCTCTGTTGCTCAAGGCCAAACTAATCTTAAGTGCTTGGTTTGTTCCTCATGGTAGTCTAAAAATTCAGATAGAGACCTGGACCTATTTGAGTCTGTTTTTGTAAAGAAAGACAAAATCAGACAAACATAGAAAAAAGAGCCGTATGTCTTCAAAACCTTTCCTCCTATGATGGTTAATCTTGGACTAGATTGAAAAGTGCCTAGGAGATTAGTAAAGCAAATCTCTGGGTGTTTCTATGAGAGCATTTACAGAGATAGTTAACTAAGCTAAGTGGGATCACTTAGCTGACTGTGGATGGCAATCATGCCGTAGGCTGGGGTCTCAGATGGACCAAACGAAGGAATCAGAAGCTCACTAGTGCAGGGAGGCACTCCCTTCTCTTTGTTTCCTGGCTACTGCATGTGAGCTAGCTCAGTTCTGCTATACTCTCTCTATTAGAAAGCCATGCCTTGTTATAGGCTCACAGCAATGGAGCCAAGCAGCTATGGAGCAAAACCTGTGAAATGAGCCAGAATAAATCATTCCTTCTTTTATTTTTTATTTATTTTTTATTTTTTCATTCCTCCTTTTAAATAGTTCCTCTGAGGTATTTTCAAACACACCTCCCACAATCCTTTCTCTCTTGCTCAGAACCCAGGCTTCAGGCTCTCTGTACCAAGTATTCTGTGCTGAATCTTATCTGTCATATACCTGTTATAGCATCATATTGTGTCTATCACATCATCCACATAACCTACACTGATTAAATCCAGTTCACTCTAATCCATGTATGAGTGGTTATCAAGGGCTTCTTTCTTTTGTTTTGCTAAGCATTTACATGTTATGAGAAAAAGCCTACAGGTGGAATGTTTTGAGTAATCAACCACTGTGGAGGCAACATTTTAGAGTAAAAAGGCCATGCATAAGCCTATCACCTACTATAAGGTTGGCTGCAATTTGAAATATTCTACTCATGTAAATAAGTTAAGATATTTTCCAAATGTTCACCTTCAACTCCCAAGAAGTTTCAAGGGTTGAGAGCAAATGAGGAATGAATATTTGTCTGACTAGGCAATTAAATAACACCCCAAATTCTCTGAGGCTATATATGTTAGATCTGTTACTTTGGTAACCATTACTATGCCATCAGCAGTGGAAAATTCTACACATAATAAAACCAGAAGGATATTTGTTCACAATTAAAATTCTACTCACTGGTTCAACTAAGGCATATTCCTTGAACCAGTGGCCCACTGTAGTAAATATATTATGTCCTTATTCTTTCCTCAGGAATATGTATAATGCAAAGATTTCATTTGTACAAGTCAGAATTTGTGTATCTGAATATAAAGTTTAAAAAGAGACTGAGCAGCCTCTCCTTTAAGAGCAACAAGCGTGTGTGTGCACGTGCACGTGCATGTGTGGGTAGTGGGGTGGAGAGAGTGGAGAAGTTCTCTTTTCACCAAAGGTGACCTCAGGTGCCCACTGAGCATGTTCTTTGGTTAAAGTAAATTTTCTTCCCATGCACTCAAAGTGATCTAAATCTAAAGATAATACAATTAAAACCTCATTGCCTGTCTCCTCTCTCTCTTAACCCCCCCACTGACTCTGAGGGGTTCAATGACTGACAAGGTCACTCAATCTCTGGTAACCTTTTCTAGAACTGGCTGCTTCAGATTTTTAGATTGATGCTGATTAGTTTTGAAGACAAGTCAGCTGACTCAATGCAACTCCCAGAGCCTACTGAACATCAAGCTCAGCTGATAGAATGTATGTAGGAGAAATTTCACTAAATCCTTGAGACAATTCCCATGTCGTCCCATGGGTTTCTCTTGTAGCCAATGACCAAGTTTAACTTGGCCCCTGCTTCTCAGACTAACATGACTAGTTTCAAGCTCCTGTCTACAATACTGTAACAGCTGGCAGATGTGCTTTGTAAAGTATTAATCATGGGTTTTTATTTTTAAGCAAAACAATGCCCAAGTCATGAGAATTCCTTGGAAAGTACCAGGAAGACTTCATCTTAAAATGGTTCAGTGAAAGACAACACCCACTTTTGCTTGTTCTCCTCTCTCAGAGGCTTAAAGTTCATTTTAAATTAAAAAGTTTCTAGAAATGGTGGGAATCTTGGGTCATCAGAAATGAACAAAGCATAGGCAGCTAACTAATCTTTATCATCCAAAACTCAACTTCATCAAGTATTTGGTATATCACTTGACTATAACATGAGGCTTTTGCAGGTTGTGTGGAAATCAAAGTTTTGAAGGAGAAATGAACATATATGACATCAGTTCATAAATAAAAATATAGCATATGCATGCTATAAAAATACAGTTATATAGGCAAAAAATATCTCCAATATCACATAAAAACCTTGGAAAGGGAGATGGAGAGAGCTCAGCGGTTTAGACTGCTTGCTGGTCTTCCAGAAGACCTGAGTTAAGTTCCCAGCACCTACACCAGGAGGCTCACAATTGCCTATAACTCTGACTCCAGAGGATTTCATGCCCTCTTCTGGCCTCTGCAGGCACCTACACATATGTGGCATATACTCAGACAGATACACACATACACCTACATAAAAATAAATCTTAAAAAAACAGTGCATTTTATAAAAATATGCCTAATTTTATAAATGTTTAACATGTTTTTTAATTAGCAAGTATTAATGGAGCATTAAAATTTAAATTATATTTTACACATCTTTTTAGGAA